AAATTCCCCAAATTCCCCCAATTCCCGGAATTCCCGGAATTCCCGGAATTCCCGGAATCTGAGCTGGTTTTTTTGGGATTTCCCGCAGGATTTGCGCAGGAAAGCCGCGCGTTTGGTGGCGGCCAAGTGCACGCTGGCGGCGCGGGTGGACAGCTTCCACGAGAGCCAGGACGGCAAGGTCAGCCCAGAATTCCCAAAATTCCCAAATTCCCAAAAATTCCCAAATTCCCAAAAATTCCCTCCCCAAATTTCACCGAAATTCCCCAAAAAATCCCCCCCAAAATCCCCCCAAAATCATCAAAAATTGTCCCAAAATCCCCAAAAAATCCCACCCAGGACCCCCCAAAAATCCCAGATTTATTCCCAGAATTCCCAAATTCCCAAGAATTCCCAAAATTCCCAGGAATTCCCAAAAATCCCCCCCAAAATTTCACAAGAATTCCCCAAAAATCCATCCCAAAATCACCAAAAAATCCCCAAAAAATCCCCCAAAATCCCCAAAAAAAATCCCCAAAATCCCCCAAATTCCCAGATTTTTCCCAAAATTCCCAGATTTTTTCCAGAATTCCCGGATTTCCCCAGAATTCCCGGATTTTCCCGGGTTTCCAGGTGGGCTGCGAGCTGAAGGAGGAGATCGAGCGCAGCGAAACCCCAAAAAATCCCCCCAAAAATCCCCAAAAAAATCCCCAAAAAATCCCCCAAAAAATCCCAGAATTCCCAGATTTTTCCCGGAATTCCCAGATTTTCCCCGGAATTCCCGGCTTTTCCCGGGTCTCCAGGTGGGCTACGAGCTGAAGGAGGAGATCGAGCGCAGCGAAACCCCAAAAAATCCCCCCCAAAAATCCCAAAAAAATCCCCCAAAAAATCCCAAAAAATCCCCAAAATTCCCAGATTTTTCCCAGAATTCCCAGATTTTTCCCGGAATTCCCGGATTTTCCCGGAATTCCCGGATTTTCCCGGGTTTCCAGGTGGGCTACGAGCTGAAGGAGGAGATCGAGCGCAGCGAAACCCCAAAAAATCCCCCAAAATCCCCAAAAAAATCCCCAAAAAATCCCCAGAATTCCCAGATTTTTCCCAGAATTCCCAGATTTTTCCCAGAATTCCCGGAATTCCCGGAATTCCCGGCTTTCCCCGGCTCTCCAGGTGGGCTACGAGCTGAAGGAGGAGATCGAGCGCAAGTTCGACAAGTGGCAGGAGCCGCCCCCGGTCAAGCAGGTGAAGCCGCTGCCGGCGCCGCTCGACGGCCAGAGGAAGAAGAGAGGGGGCCGCAGGTGCCTTAATTAGCGCTAATTAGCACTAATTAACCCTTGAGTAGCCTTAATTCATCCTTAATTAGCCTTAATTTGTCCTTAATTAGCCTTAATTCATCCTCAATTCGTCCTTACTCAGCTCCTAATTGATCCTTGGGGAGCAGAGGAAGAAGAGAGGGGGACGCAGGTGCCTTAATTAGCGCTAATTAGCACTAATTAACCCTTGATTAGCCTTAATTCGTCCTTAATTAGTCTTAATTCATCATTAATTAGCGTTTATTCGTCCTTACTCAGCTCCTAATTGATCCTTGGGGAGCAGAGGAAGAAGAGAGGAGGCGCAGGTGCTTTAATTAGCGCTAATTAGCACTAATTAACCCTTGATTAGCCTTGATTCAACCCTAATTAGCCTTAATTTGTCCTTAATTAGCCTTAATTCATCCTTAATTAGTGTTAATTTGTCCTTAATTAGTGTTAATTTGTCCTTAATTAGCGTTAATTCGTCCTTACTCAGCTCCTAATTAATCCTTGGGGAGCAGAGGAAGAAGAGAGGGGGCCGCAGGTGCCTTAATTAGCGCTAATTAGCACTAATTAACCTTTGATTAGCCTTAATTCATCCTTAATTAGCCTTAATTCGTCCTTCATTGGCTCCTAAGGTCTTACCAAATTCTTGCTTTTCTCCTAATTAACCCAAATCAATCTCTAATTAATCCCCTAATAAACTCCTTATTTTTTCTTAATTATCTGTCTTTACCCTTAATTATTTTTAACTCCTTAATGAGCTTGTAATCAACTCTAATCATCTCTTAATTAACCCCTTAATCGCTCCCCAATTGACATCCTAATTAACTGTTAATTAGCCTTTAATTAACAGTTAATTAGTCGCCCGATTAATGGTTAATTAGCCCCTAATTAATGGTTAATTAGCCCCCTAATGAACGGTTAATTAGCCCCTAATTAACGGTTAATTAGCCCCTAATTAACGCAGGTACCGGAAGATGAAGGAGCGCCTGGGGCTGACGGAGATCCGCAAGCAGGCCAACAGGATGAGCTTTGGGGAGGTAATTAACGCTAATTAACCCTAATTAACGCTAATTAATCACCCCAATCCCATTTTTACCTTCCTGGGATCCCCAAATCCCATTTTTTATTCGTTTTCTTCCCGTTTTTCCCACTTTTAATCCCATTTTTAACTCGTTTTTTCCCGTTTTTCCTCCCTTTAACCCCATTTTTAACCCCTCTGAATCCCATTTTTTACTCGTTTTTCCCATTTTCCCCACTTTTAACCCAATTTTAACCCCCCCAAATCCCATTTTTTACTCGTTTTTCCCATTTTTTAATCGTTTTTACCCAATTTTCCCACTTTTAACCCCATTTTCCCCTCAGATCAAGAGGCCTACCCGGATGACCCAGAACCCCTAATCCCCATTTTTCCTCATTTTAACCTTTCCAAATCCCATTTTTTACTCATTTTTTCCCATTTTCCCCACTTTTAACGCAATTTTAACACTCCCAAATCCCATTTTTTACTCATTTTCCCCATTTTTCGCTCATTTTTTCCCATTTTTCCCACTTTTAACCCCATTTTCCCCTCAGATCAAGGAAGAGGCCTACCAGGACAACCCAGGCTTTGGCCTGGTACCACCTGGGACCCTCCAACCTCATTTTTCCCCACTTTTTATCCAAATTTTTCTTCTAAAACCCCACTTTAATTTCTCCAAATCCCATTTTTTACTCATTTTTCCCATTTTTTACTCCTTTTTTCCCATTTTCCCCACTTTTAACCCCATTTTCCCTCAGATGAAGGAAGAGGCCTACCAGGACAACCCGGGCTTCGGCCTGGGACCATCTGGGACCCTCAAAACTCATTTTTTTCCCCTCTTATACAAATTTTTCTTATAAAACCCCACTTTAATCTCTCCAAATCCCATTTTTTACTAATTTTTCCAGCTTTTTACTCCTTTTTTCCCATTTATCCCACTTTTAACCCCATTTTCCCCTCAGATGAAGGAAGAGGCCTAGCAGGACAGCCCGGGCTCTGGCCTGGGACTCCCAAACTCATTTTTCCTTCTTTAACCCAAGTTTTTCTTGTAAAATTCCATTTTAACCCCTCCAAATCCCATTTTCCTCCCTTTTAACCCCATTTTAATCCCTCCAAATCCCATTTTTTGATCATTTTTTCCCATTTTCCCCACTTTTAACCCCATTTTCCCCTCAGATCAAGGAAGAGGACTCCGGCTTTGGCCTGGAACCCCCAAACCCCATTTTCCCCCTTTTAACCCCATTTTAACCTTTCCAAACTCCATTTTTTACTCATTTTTTCCCATTTCCCCACTTTTAACCCCATTTTAGCATCCCGAAATCCCATTTTTTACACATTTTTCCCCATTTTCCCATTTTTAACCCCATTTTCCCCTCAGATCAAGGAAGAGGCCCAGCAGTAGGACTCAAGCTTTAGCCTGGGCCACCTGGGACCCTCAAACCCCATTTTCCCCTCTTTGAACCCCATTTTTACCCCTCCAAACCCCATTTTTTTTCCATTTTTCCCACTTTTAACCCCTCCAATCATAATTTTTTCCTGTTTTCCCCACTTTTAACCCCATTTTCCCCTCAGATCGAGGAGGACGCTTACCAGGAGCACCTGGGTTTCAGCCTGGGCCACCTGGGACCCCCAAACCCCATTTTTCCTCCATTTAACGCTGTTTTAACACCCTCAAACTCCATTTTTCTCTCCTTAACCCCATTTTCACCTTCCCAAACCCCATTTTTTCCTCATTTTTTCCCCTTTTCCCCACTTTTAACCCCATTTTCCCCTCAGATCAAGGAAGAAGCCTAGCAGTAGGACTCCGGCTTCGGCCTGGGACCCCCAAACCCCATTTTGCCCCCTTTAATCCCATTTTTACCCTCCCAAACCCCATGTTTTGCTCATTTTTCCCGTTTTCCCCACTTTTAACCCCATTTTAGCATCCGCAAATCCCATTTTTTACTCGTTTTTTCCCCATTTCTTCCACTTTTAACCCCATTTTCCCCTCAGATGAAGGAAGAGGCCTAGCAGTAGGACTCAGGCTTTGACCTGGGACCCCCAAACCCCATTTTCCCCCCTTTAACCCCATTTTAATCTTTCCAAATCCTATTTTTTACTCATTTTTTCCCGTTTTTCCACCTTAACCCCATTTTAGCTTCCCCAAATCCCATTTTTTACTCGTTTTTTCCCCATTTCTTCCACTTTTAACCCCGTTTTCCCCTCAGATCAAGGAAGAGGCCTAGCAGGACAACCCGGGCTTTGGCCTGGGCCATCTGGGACCTTCAAACCCCCTTTTCCCCCCTTTAACCCCATTTTCACCTTCCCAAACCCCATTTTTTCCTCATTTTTTCCCGTTTTCCCCACTTTTAACCCCATTTTCCCCTCAGATCGAGGAGGACGCTTACCAGGAGGACCTGGGTTTCAGCCTGGGCCACCTGGGCAAGGCCGGCAGCGGCCGCGTTCGCCAGACCCAGGTCAATGAGGCCACCAAAGCCCGGATCAGCAAAACCCTGCAGGTACCTGAAGCCCCTCCCAGATTAATCACCCCCTTTGGAGCTAATCACCCCCTAATTAGCATAATTAACCCCTAATTAACGCTGCCCAGAGGACGCTGCAGAAGCAGAGCGTGGTGTACGGGGGTAAATCCACCATTCGGGACCGGAGCTCGGGCACGGCCTCGAGCGTGGCCTTCACCCCCCTGCAGGTGGGGATTTGGGGGGGTTTGAGGGGTTTGGGGGGTCTCAAGGGGGATTTTGGGGGGTTTGAGGGGTTTGGGGGGGTCTCAAGTGG